TTACACTACCTCAGAAAGCAGGCTTGTTCCTATGATGAAGTCATGTTACTATAATATTTATTCAGCTTCAAATTACAGTAATTGTTGTTGCACCTAAGAAAAGGCAACAGAATAGTTTTCAACTCTGAATACCTCTTGAAAATTTCTCTGTGTTACCTACTCATAAATAGAAGTCAAATTAGTTAAAATGTTTTTTTTCCCCCACATGAATTTTGTTTAAAATTGCTTCGAGGATTTGGTTTTGAAGGTTTCTGGAAAACTTGTCCATTTTGTCTGTTACTGCTTGGCAGGATTGATGAAGCAGTGTACGGCTTTCTCTGGGGCTACCAAGGCAGCGAGGATAAAAATAGGACAAACTTTAAGAATCCCAGATATTTTCAGATAACAAAGACTGATTTATGCAGGCCCATTTGTGCTCTGACCAAACATAGAGACGCTTTTGTGCTGTGATTAGCAAGGGTGCTGATGTCAGTCCTCTTGTCAAGCTTGAAGCTTTATTCTGTGGCTAAATTGTGCTTTGTACCATAATCCAGAGAACCTTTGTATCTGCCTTATTAAAGTGTGTAGTTTATGTAATTGCTTTTGTTTTCCAGTTATATCGGTGCCAGATTCAATGAGAGTGACTCATTTTGTGACTGAGACAAACATTCACATTTGGGCCATGTTAAAAATAAATAAATAAGTGGCAGGTGCTCTTTGGCTAAATTCTGTGTTTTAATGTGGTAATTTCCTGCCGTAAGCAGTCAGGCTTTGTATAGTGTCTATCGGCCTCTGTAATCACTGGAGCATTGTGTATCTCATGCAGTGCGCCTCAGCACGCTGCAACTCATTTCTTAGCTATTTTACTTCCTTAGGGGTTTTTACAATTTCAACAGTGTGATTTCAGCAGAGAAGCAAGGAATGGATGGGAGAAGCCACAATCAACTAGAACACAAAGCATGGACTCATTCCCTTCTTTTCTGGTTTTGTTACTTTAACAGGATGTTCATGCATGTATTTTGGTACAGTTATCTTGGTTATGTTTGTCATGTAAACATGCACTACTGGAGAATTTTTCCTCAGGTGGAAAAGGTTTTAAAAGCACAGTTCATTGTATCCCATATAGTAAATTTAATACTCTCAAAAATTTTACAACTTTATTCTTTCAGGGGAACTCATTTATTGATTGCATAAATATTTCAGTGTACCAGGCACTGTGTTATGTATCGGGTATTGAATAGCAAACAAAGCAGATGTAGCCATTATCTTCTTGGACTTTGCAGTGTGGTTAGGCGCTTAGATGCTGAACAAACGAAGAATGTAGGTAAGAAGATTGATGTGTAGTCTTCTACAAATCACAGCATAGTCAGGTAAAAGGATCCCCACCATTGCATCCTGCTTTCATTGGGCTGCTTGGGTTGAAGGAGGTTGAGAAAGGGAAGAGGGCTGAAGGGCAGGAGACCAGGAACATGTAAGACCTAGGAAATAACAGGGGCAAAAGGCTTTGAAACAGGAAAGAGCTTGGCCTCCTGTAAACCATATTGTCAGAAGAGAGAAGTGACAGTTGATAAAATTTGAAAGAAAAGACAAATCTGCATTAAAAGATGACCGATGAACTTTACAGCTGCAGCATGGTTGTACCGTGTGATGTGGGGGCAGGTGACCTCTACACAGCCCAGAGCCTCTAAGATGGTCACTAAAGTGCAGCGGAGAAATCACACTACTTAGTCTGAATCATGAGGGAGTGGATGAATTACATTCAATGAATTATGTAGTAAGGCATGTAGGAAAAATTTCCTTGCGAGACATTAAAGTTTGAAAAAAGTTACTTCTGCTTTTAAAAGAGAAACCTCCCCTATCTGCAGAGATCATCAACCAAGAGGAAAGACTCCTGGATGGCCCTGACTAAATAACGTAATGCTGTTTTCTTCTCCCTGTACTTCCCTGTAATTCTTTCATGCTTGCCGCTTGATAGGGCAGAATCATACTGGATGACTTTCATTTATTCTGAAGCAAATAAGTATATATAAAATGAAAAGATTTTTATAATCCAGGGCAAACTTCCATGAGTCTAACACTCTGTAAGTTTTCAGTAATTCTTAAAATATCTATAAATGCTACTCTGTCTTACTTCAGACACCAGCTTTTTACTTTTTTTCTCTGAGCTGCAGTCAGACGGAATGTAAAATACCAATGATTTTAAAGAACTCTTACAATATATTTAGACCTTTGCAAATGCTCTAATAATTTCCATACTAAAGGATTGTGTACATTTTCCCACATATGAATAGTCATATACTTAGCAATATGTCTGCAGATATTTGGACAGAATTTTTTTTTTTTTTTTTTTTTTTTTTTTTTTTTTTGGTCGCTAGGAAACTCATGCTTCCTAGGTAGGCGCTTATGCCCTGAGCTAAATTCCCAGCCCAGGATTTTCATACTTGTTAAGTATTTTCTTCACAGGTAGCAAGCTCCATGTGGGTAGGAATCATGAATTCTCTGTGTATCTCTTTTTCTCATAAGTATTTTGAAAACAACCAGTTATCTAAATTTTCTTCAAAGCATGCAACTTACAGAATCTTTCAAAATACTAAGCCTAAAGTTATCACCTTTAGGCACTCAGTTAGCTGTGCAGTTATCTGTTGTATTAAAAATTGAGAGGCCCAGTTTCTGGATCACACAGGATCCTTCATTGTCATTTTCCAACTCTGCCTCTGACTACTATTTCTGCCTCTGACTACCTTTCTATCTCCTCTATCAGGGAACTATAGCTCAAAAATCACTTCCTATTAGAATTTATTGTAAAATTTGATGACAATAGAAGCTAAAACTAAATATCTAATAGAAAAGCATTTGTAGTTATTACTCCTTTTGTCTTCTCTTTCTCATGTGTTTTTTAGAATAAAACATATCCAGCTACATTTTTAAATTGGCTCTATAATTCCTTTGCGTTAAATTTTTCAAATTTTGTGAGAAACAAAAACATGGAGAACCTATCACTGCTTTGGGGGATTTGAGTAGATATTTTCTTGTAGAATGATACATATGTTTTACCAACATGCATGTTAGTGAAAATTGGCGTATGTGAACATTAGGAACATTATGAACATTTTTGTTCTGATTGGATGGTCTGCTTAACATGAAACTTGCACAGTAAAATTTCTGATAGCATAGGGCCATCATTATCTCAAGTTGTCGCTGGAAAAGAGACATGTTATTTCTGATTATAATTTACCAAAACTAAAGCACAGAATCATTGTGCCTCGTGCTTAGTTGTCATCTCTAAGGGGACAAAAAAGGCAGTGAGAACATAGGATTCCATCAGTGTTTGTACGTAGGATGTTTCTCAGTCCTGCTGCCTAGGGTGTCACTTTGGATGATATGTCAAATGTTCAGTCCAAAGTATAGAATGTCTCTTAGTAGGTATCTTAATCACTTCCTTATTGCAGGGACAACGTACCAAATATCTGCTACTTAAAGGAAGAGAGGTTTATTTTGGCTCACAGTTTTAGTCTGAGATTGGCTGGCACTGAGGCAGAAACCTGATGGCAGAGGGCATGGTGGAAAAAAAGGTGCTCAACTCTTGGCAGCCAGGAAGCAGAAAGAGAAGGGAGCCGATGGGTACAAGACTTCGCCCTTCCAGGTGGCACCCTCAGTGATGCCCCTTTCCACCCAGGTTCAGCCTCCCCGCAGCACAGTTAGTTACCAAACTGACCAGTGGATTCGCCCACCGATGAGTATAGCACCCCATGGTCCAATCACCTTCCAAACACATCAAGCTCTTGGGGGACATTTTAGATGTGAACTCTTAAGTATGTGACTGCAATTTGCCAAAATACATCTTTGAAAAATTTAGCTGACTGTTTCAAAGGATGAACCTCAAAAAGGAGTGAGGCTTGGTTTCATTTCCAGATGCAGATACAGGGGTTGAAGATGAATGAACAAGAGTCAGTCATTTCATTCTGCTATTATTATTTAGTGAATGTAGATTTTGCAGAGAGTAGATTTGGGCATAATATTAAACTCAAAATTTGAAAATACAGAACCTTTGGAGGGAGGAGATAGTGAGGACAGGTCCAGATTGCCAATATGTTTGTTGGGAAGATAAGGAGGAAGGCTAAAACAGTTGTATCTCAGGTTACAGAATACAGCCCTTCTCTGTGGAATCTTAAGTGATCAGCTGGCCCAAAGAGAGGCCATCTATTGCTTGCTTCCTAGGCAAGAAGCCAGGAAAGTTTCTAAAGCTGTTTTCCCCCTCATCACTCTTGCTCCCTCCTACACACACAGAGAGAGAAAGAGAATGAATTCTGTAGTTTGAAATCTGTAACAGGCTTATGAAGAGGAGCTTGAAAAGCCACTGCTTTTTTGTTGTTGTTGTTTAAACTGTAGGTAAAATACAGTTTACCATTCTGTTTTGACTGTGTAATGCGGTGTTATTAAGTACATTCATGTTGTTGTACACCAGTGAGTACTATCCATCTGTAGAATTCTTTTAATCTTCCCAGTGAAACCCACTAAACACTAATTCCCTGTGTTTCTCCTGATCGGTTCCTGGAAATCACTGCTCTGCTTTCTGCTTCTGTGAATTTGATCACAGCAAATACCTCTACATGAGGAATCATACAGTGTTTTTCCTTTTGTGACTGGCTTTTGTCACCATCATGTCCACTCCTTTGCTTCCTTATATCCTTTTTTCACATCATTTCTCTTTTCTTTTCTTTTTTTGGTGCCAGGAATTGAACTCAGGGTCTCACGCTTGCCAGGCAGGTGCTGTGCTGCTGTGCTGTATCCCTGGCCCCAACGTAACACCTTGTGTTATATCAGAGGAGAGTTCCTAGAAGATTCTAAATATATACATCATTAATTTGAGCATCAGTTAACTTTGCTGTTAAGAGTGGCCAGTTTCCTATGGAAAAAATTGTGACTTTTTCTAGACAGTGCACTTACAAAATTGGTTTAATAAATGTGTGTTTTTCAAAACTTTGCTGTAATACTAAATGGGCACTTTGTTTTGTTTCTAGGCATGGAAGAGGAGATGGTTTGTGTTACGCAGTGGCCGTTTGACTGGTGATCCAGATGTCCTGGAATACTACAAAAATGACCACGCCAAGAAGCCTATTCGTATTATTGATCTAAATTTATGTCAGCAAGTCGATGCTGGATTGACATTTAACAAAAAAGAGTTTGAAAACAGCTACATATTTGACATCAACACTATTGACCGGATTTTCTATTTGGTAGCAGACAGTGAGGAGGAGATGAATAAGTGGGTCCGGTGTATTTGTGACATCTGTGGGTTTAATCCTACAGAAGAAGGTAAGTTCAAGATTTTATGATTTGGGCTGGGGATTTAGCTCAGTGGCATAAGCACCTGCCTTGCAAGCAGGCAGTCATGAGTTCGATCCCCGGTACCAATAAAAAGGAAAAAGACAAAAAAAAAAAAAAAAAGATTTTATGATTCAACTTGAATTCTCCCTTTTTGCTACATTTTCTTAAATGTCACAAAATATTATTTCAATTATACCCTATAATCTTGTTTTATAAAAGGAACTTGACATTTGGGAAAGAAAAAACACTGATCTCTTTGATGAGTATGGAGAGACACTTGTACTGGTTTGAAAGACAGAGACAGAGAGAGCAGGTAGACAGAAAGGTAGACTGACTTAACCACTGCAGAACAGAATATAATTATCCTGAACAAGAAGGTAACAAGAGAACATCTCTAAGAGCTTTTACCGTGTTTTGAAAATTTAATCGAACTATTTGCAACTATAGATACTTTGCTATTTTTGACCGATGGAAAAAAATGCCAATTTTTGTGTGTGTGTGTTTCAACCCAACTCTTTAGGTGTTATTATAAGAACTACATTAGCTTTTGAAATTATGAAATCCTCAAGCTTATCAATATTTAGGAAAAGCAAGTGGAAATTAATCACAAAACAATGAAAGAGTACTAAACAGATGAGTTTATTTAGCACCAGTCCTAAAAAGAGTGTGAAGGAAGGAAGAGGAGGTGCTTACGGGTTAGATAAGAGGGGGCAGAGAAAAACTTCTCAGGAGACTTAATTGCAAATTGCAGGCTTTCGAAGGAAGTTGTATTTCTATACAAGTGAAAGTAGCGAATGCAGATTTGGGGACTTGGAGAAAAGAAAAAGACTTCAAGATAGAACAGAGTTTTATTTGACTGAAGCAGAAAGCTGTGAATCAAAGAAGCTAGGGAATAGCTGCTTAGAGAACTTGAATGAGGACCAGATTCGGGGTGCCCATCCCAGAAGCAGTTTGATGACTAGCAGTCTTAAGAATTTCGTAGTGTGCAGGTTGTTTTCCATAGCTACTCAACCACGTATCCTCAGTCTTCTGCTCTACTTGTTTTTCTCAAAAATCTGTGTAGGTACCAAGGACCAGAAATAAACGTGAACTGGTGTTTGACTTTATTGTCTTCATGGCTATCAGCAGTGCCCCCTTATTCATGGGAGATATGGTCCAGGACCTCTACTGGATGTCTGAAAGCCAGGATAGGACCTAGCTCTGTGTACTACATTTTCCCTCTATCCAGTTATATCAGACTTTATTTGTAAACTAGACACAGGAAAAGATGAAAAGCAATAGTAAAAGAACGGTTGGAACAGTGTACTGCAATTGCATTGCCATGGTCACTGCTTGCTCTTTGGGGCTATGATTAAGTAAAGTAGGAGTTCAATGTGTGCACTGTAATACCAGGATACCACAGCAGTGAGATCAGACAAGCAAGAGACCTAAGTGGCCAACAGGTAGGTAGCATATAACTTGCAGATACACTGAACAGAGGGATGATTCATACATCAGGCAGGATGGTGCAGGGTGGCTCAGAAAAGGCACACAATTTAAGAGTTATAAACTGTTTATTTCTGGAATTTTCCATTTAATATTTTCATACCACATTGGCCTTGGGCAGCTGGTATCGCAGAAAGCAAAACTGCAGATATTAATGGTGCGGGGTGGGGGGTGGCAGATGTGGTTGGTGCATGTCTGTAATCCCAGCACTTGGGAGGCTGAGGCAGGTGCATCATAGTGAGTTTAAGACCAGCTTGGGATACACGGTGAGTTCAAGGACAGCCTGTCTTAAAAAAATAAAAAAGAAAGGAAAGGCTACTACACTCATGTTTAAAAATGTGCATTCCCAAATATTTAAACTACAGAAGGCTGATGGGGTGGGGAGATATTAATAAATACAATCAACGTCAAGGTTTGTACTGAAGAGAAATCATAGTCATTTCTGAGCACTGCACGCTGCTTCTGCTGTGGCCAGTGCAGGCCTGGCGAAGGCCTTCGAAGGGCTGGGCTTGGCCTGTGGTAGGGGACAAGCCCAGCGGAGGGAACTAGGAAGGGTTATGGAGCAGCACTGAGAGACCAGTGCAGCAGGCAGTGGTTCTGCTTGCCCAAAGCCAGGCTCGGGAACTCAAGACACAGGATTCCAGGCCTCAGGAAACTGTTTCATCAGGCATTGAAGACTTTGTGCTCAGGAAGGTACTAAATATGTTCGCAGAGTGAGTGAGCATCAGGGGCATCATTTCTAACTCTAGTTAGACTTCTTTTCTGTTTGCATAGATGTCTGTCTTTGCAGTGAAGGATTTTAAAGTTCAGGTCACATTGCTGTTTTTTGCGGTTGTTAGATTAGATCCTACATCAGTTTCACTGTGGTGGATTTCTGTGTAAATAACTTGTTACAGTAGTTTTGTCGCTGCTGTTGTTCCTCTGCCTGCTGCCTCTTCGAGGTCTAAGTTGTTTTGGGGGACCTCAGAGCAGACTTCTGTTGTCACTCATTGCCTACAAGGCTAATTTGTAGATGTTCTTCCGCAGTCCTCCTAAATTTAACAAAGGAAGTGAGCTGCTGACCTAGAGGATGAGCCTTTTTCAGTTGGGGACTGTACTAAATTTTTAGAAGCTCATTCAAGAGTGGATAGAGAGGAGAAACCCCCAAGATAAGAATTTTTAATGCTTGTGTCCAAGGTTAGCTTTTCGAGTTTTCACATTGAGCCTGATCTGCTTGGCTACCTAGGATTGAAGGATTCTTATCATTCAAGAGCACCAAACAAGCTCTGGAAAGAGGAAAATGGATTTGTCAGTTTACCACATCATTGAGTTCGCCAACACTCTACTAGATAATGGGCACACTCATCCCACACATATGTGTGGTGTGACTGGCCAGGGGGACAAACAGTAAACCTCCTAGAGCTGGAACTGAGCATCCAGTATGAGAGAATTTATTATAACAAATACCCAAAGTAATGCGTTATACCTGCTGATGAGTGTGAGTTTGTATGTAAAATACTGTGGCTATAAATACAGTTCTCATCTTTATAGCACTTGTAAGTTTGTCATTGGTCTAGCAGGAGAGTCAGATAACCCAGGAATCCATAATACCTGTTGATAGCACTCTGCTGCAGAAAAAATGGAAAACATGATTTAATCTTCAGTCAGTCAAGCAGAACCCAGGCAGTTTTAAATAACTCTGTGACTATTGCTGGGACTATACTGAGAACTTTATTTTTGTAGTTAGTGGAACATTTTAATTGATTTTAGAAGTCAGGATAGGTTGGTCACCATGTCTGTTTTGACTTTATAAACCTCTACCAGCATAGAGAATGACAGACTTTTTAAAAACTGGAAAGCAACAGTGACTTTTTTAGTGGCAAAACTCCCAAGTCCTTATAAAACAAATTAGAAGCATATTTGAGTTGAATGAACTCTTAATTCGTGAAATTTTTATATTCACAGTATATATGGGGTAAGGAGTTTGTGAGAAAATTCATAGTATGATTAATCAAATTTGATATGTGTAATTTGTGAGTTGCTTAACCAACAACAGCTGTGCGAATCACAAGTCATTTTTGTCTGTTCATTTAAACAGTCCCAAAGACTTCAGTTTGCTAACATTTTCTCCATTCAGTTCGTGAGCTGTGTGTTGTGTTTACATGTAACTACCCTTGATTTTAGATTTTGTTCCTTATATTTGTCACAGCTTGTTCTGGCCATCTCCCCCTAAATAGCCACAGTCAGAAATGTTTTAATTTAGTACATTGAAATATGTACTATTTGTTGGAATAAATCTTATAAAAAATGAACTGTTCATTAAGAAGTGTCACGAAGCCAAAACATATTTAACTGTACTCTGTAATTTTGGTTTTCAACGCATAGTCGCAAAACTATAGAAAGGCTTTTAAATCAACCACTATTCTTCCTCAGATGTTTGTAGTGGCTGACTCTGCTAAGTCGTTAAAAAGAGAAAAATTAGCCTAACATGGATGCAGCCCTGGGTTCAGCCCCCAGTACCACAGGTGGGGCCTGATAACACCTCTAAAGGTTTGTGACTCATTATAAAGAGCAGAGAACGGCTATTTTCCTTTGTAGTCATATTCTTAGAGTTTAATGCAACAACAATCAAGATGTCCCTGTTCGTCCCCTAAATGTACTCCCTGCCTTATATTCCGGGTGTGCCTCCCCCCCAGTCCCTAAACACTGGTGAGTATTTTTGTTTTTGCCTAGCTCTGTCCCCTGAGTCCTGAGCTCTTCTGACTTCAGAGGGCTGAATGTGCTTCCATGCTCGGCTTGAGAATTGACTAATACCACAAGGTGATTTTTCACTGTGCTAGTTTTAGCCAGATGCGGGAAGCAATAGAGTATGCTTGGATATCAGAGTCTATGAAAATAACTATCCCTAGTCCCTATGAGAATAACTAATTTTCCCCTGAAAAACAAAAGGAAAGGGGAAAAATCTGACCTGTGTTTTGATTCCAGGAACCTCTCAAAATATCGTTACCATGTTATTTCCGCTGCCCCAGGTGACCACTGCTATTATTGAATACTCTAAATGCTGGCAGGCTGTATCTGTTTTTAAATTCTAGCTCATTGAACTGAATGTGGTTCCTATGAATGCTTTTCTTTGGTAGATTTGAGGGCAGAAACTAGTTTCTTTTGTTTTTCTTGGAAATATGCAGAGTTATTTTTGTTCCTACACCACCAAGGTGGGAGCTGTTAAATCAGCTAAACAAGTGCTGGGAAACGCAGCTGAAGGGCTGAGGGAAGCTCACCAACTTCGGTAAAGACTTCAGGGCCAATTTTAGGGTGCAAGATTACAAAGCTGCCCCTGGGTTGGTTTTTTGCAAAATGCACAGAATACAGTGGCTTAATAAAAAAGTGCAATTATCTGTTTAATATTCTTCCTTTTTTTTTTTTTTTCCGAACTGGGGATCAAATTCATGACCTTGCACTTGCCAGGCAGGCGCTGTGTCACTGCACTATATCCCCTGCCTATTCTTTCCTTTAGAAAAGTAGCT